TATCTTTGAGGTCCACCATCAAACAGACTATAAATCATATTTATAAACACTAAAATATAATGGAGAAGGAAATGACTATCACTCCAGTATTCTTGCCTGGAGAATTCCAGGGACAGAGCAGCCTGGTGGGCTACAGTCCATGGGGCTGCAAATAATCAGACACAACTGAGTGACTAACACACATACAAAATACACTATAATGAAGGCAGTGTAAGTATGTGTTTTCAGTTCAGCTCAGTTCAGAAGCTCAGTCGTGTCCTACACTTTGCAACCCCATGGACTGTAGCACACCAGGCTTCCCTGTCCATCACCAACTCCTGGAGCTTGCTCAAACTCATGTCCAACATCTCATCCTTTGTCATCCCCTTCTTTTCCCGTCTTCAATCTTTCCCAGGATCAGGGTCTTTTCCAATGAGTCAGTTGTTTACATCAGCTGGCCAAAGAATTGGAGTTTCAGCTTCAGTATCAATCCTTCCAATGAATATTCAGGACTGATTTCCTTGAGGACTGACTGATTGGATCTCCTGGCAGTCCAAGGGACTCTCAAGAGTTGTCTCCAACACCACAGTTCAAAAGCATCAATTCTTCAGCACGCAGCTTTCTTTATGATCCAACTCTCACATCCATATACGACTACTGGAAAAACCATAGCTTTGACTAGATGGACCTTTGTCCACAAACTAATGCCTCTGCTGTTCATAACCAAGGGATCGAACCCAGGTATCCCATATTGCAGGTGGATTCTTTACCATCTGAGCCAACAGGGAAGTCCAAGAATATTGGAGTGGGTAGCCTGTCCCTTCTCCAAGGGAACTTCTCAACCCAGCAATCGAACTGGGGTCTCCTGCATTGCAGGTGGATTCTTTACCAGTTGAGCTACCAGGAAAGCCCTAAGTATGTGCTTTAGGAAGTATAAATAAAAATAGTGGTAAAACTTACTATGTGGTTAAATATAAAAGCAAATATTATTGAATTTTTATAACTTTTTAAAAGGAAAGTACATAAAAGAATACTTATAAATTAAACTAATGGCATACACTATATAAAGGTGTAATCTACGTAACAGAGAAAGGGAGAGACAGAGATTAAGATGTTACTTCTAACCCCTAGGGTAACAGTAAGAAAATAACTAAAAAATATATACAAAAGGAGAGAAGGGAATCAAAATACTACACAACAACAACAACAAAAAGGCTAAACAAAAAGGAATTGAGGAAAAGGCACATAAGACAGGCAGAAAACAGTTAAACGGTAAAACTAAGCCCTTCCTTAACAATGATAACTTTAACTGGATTAAACTCTCCAATAGAAAGGCAGAGATGGCAGAATGAATTAAGAAACATAATCCAATAATATGATGTCTATAAGAGACTCATTTTAGATATAAGGAAGCTGCTGCTACTAAGTCGCTTCAGTCGTGTCTGACTCTGTGCGACCCCACAGACGGCAGCCCACCAAGCTCCCCTGTCCCTGGGATTCTCCAGGCAAGAACACTGGAGTGGGTTGCCATTTCTTTCTCCAATGCATGAAAGTGAAAAGAGAGTGAAGTCGCTCAGTCATCTGACTCTTAGCGACCCCATGGACTGCAGCCTACAAGGCTCCTCCATCCATGGGATTTGCCAGGCAAGAGTACTGGAGTCGATTGCCATTGCCTTCTCCATAAGGAAGCTAGATCCATCTTATAATATATATATAAATTTACTCAAAATAGATCAAATATTTAAATTTAAGAGCTAAAACTATGAAACTCTTTGAAAAAAAATAAGGGGCAAAGCTGCGTGACCATGGATTTGGCAACAGCTTACTAAATATGACACCAAAAGCACAGGCAAAACAGCAAAACATAATGTGGACTCTATTAAAATTCCAAACTTTTGTATTTTTTTTATCCTAATTGACTCACTGGAAAAGACCCTGATCCTGGGAAAGATTGAAGGCAGGAGAAGAAGGTGATGACAGGATATCTTATATCCTGCCTGCACTGCAGGCAGATTCTTTACTATCTGAGCCACCAGGGAAGCCATAAACATGCTTTAATTATTATTATTATTATTATTTTTAAAGGCCAAGGCTCCTTTTTGGAATCTTTATTCTTAGCCCTTTATCATATGTAGTGGAAAATACCCCACCACCACCACTATTGACTTAGGGCTTGGGCATGTGACATGCTTTAGGCAACATGTTAGCTAATGTGACAGAAGCAGGTGTTTGATAATTGTTTAGACAGTCAAGCTGGCCTCCTGCACCTCTGCCATTGCAATGATAACATGTTCTGGCTGGTCTGTTGGTTCACAAAGGATGAGATACATGTACAGCAGAGCTGATTCAGTTGAACTCAACCTATGCTGGTCAAACCACAGCAAGGTGACTAAGTCCAGCTGAAATCATCTGTTGCCCACCCCACCCTCATAGATGTTGACCCACAGTGAATGACCAGTGTTTCGAGCCCCTGAATTTTAGAATTGTCTGTTAGGAAGAACTGACCCAGAAATACGGCATCAAGAAATACACTTTCCCTTACAAGTCTTTCCAGTAAAGACTTTTCCTCTTCATCTGTCCCTTGATCCTGCAGCTTAGACTATTCTTGGGTCCACCTACTTGCCCCCTTTAGGAACCACTAGGGAAACTCCTTTAGAATCACCTTCCTCCTCTCTGAGCAGACCTCACTGAAGCTTCTGTGATTTTGCTGTTTTATGTAACTAGAGCCACTGGATTTCAGATAAGCACAAATGACAAGCAGGACCATGACTGAGGAATGTTAGAGCATGTCACCGGTATCTTTTTTTGTTTTTAAATGACAGACTGAGATGTTGCCTGGGAAGAACTTATCCTGAGGAAAGAAAGCATTAAGAAGCCCAAGACTGGTGCAATAAACAACACCCAGAATCACAGCTATTGTGAGAGAGGATAGAGAAAATAGAAGGTAAATGTATTTTTTTTCTTCACAAGTAAACACTATTTAATTTTAAAGATTTTTTCAAAGAATAACAAAGTAAACAATTATATTCTCACTATATTTTCTTTCAGCTTGCTTTTTAGTAAAACAAACATTATAGGAAAAGCTAGTCACTGTGAACAGGAAAGTCCCTTATAACTAGTTAAGCTAGTTAGTAGTTAATATTAACTAGTTAATAAAGTCCCTGATAACTACCTCCAAAATCATTCCTTTCTCTTCTCATACATAATCACTATTATGAGTTTGATGGAATCCTTTCAGGGCTTGTTACTTTGTGAGTGTGATATTTAACAGAACCCAGTTATTAGCCATAAAGCTATCTCCTTTTCCAGCTCTCAAGGACTCATATATAGGTCTGAGAGTAAATGACGATACAAACAAAAGGTGAAAGTGCTCGTTTCAGGGAAAAAATTTATATTTAAGACATGGGAAGAACGTGCGGTAGAAAGTGTGGGATTCTCTCTGCTTAAACAAAGCAGCATCTATACAGTAATAAAGTACTGTAAATATACTCAAGATAAAATGTTAAGACATTCAGAAAAGATAGTACCACTGCTAACAGCAGTGCCATCAACAGCACTTAGCTTCAGTGGAATGAACATTAATGCCATTGAGGGTGAACCCAACAGTTTTCTTGAGTAGATGTCTACTGTTTCATCGTAGTCCTAGTCAGAGGCAGCATTAGCTATTTTAGAAAAGGAGCCCTAATGAACGGTCATCAAAACTCTCAGTACTAACACTGGTGGCTGGAGAAAGGCAATGGAAGCCAACAAATTTACTGAAGACTGAAAGGATTAAATATCCCTTGAGAAATAAATAAATAAATAAATAAATAAATATCCCTTGAGGACTTTCAGAAATATTGAGGAGGACCAGAGGTTAGGAGAGTGTAGGAGCTAACTTGAGAAATATTAACATTGTTAATACTATATAATTACAAATGTCTAGTAAAATATTAACAATGAAAAAGATAATTACCAAGGGAAAGAATTCTTGCTTTAATATGAGCTCCTAACAGGTTGCATCCTGAAAGGGATACAGATTATACTCAAGAGTCAGAAAACCTTAAGTCTTGGTCTCAGATTCCTAGCACCTTCAAATTCCTGTAGGAAAAGAAGAAAATTCTTCCCAATAAAGATAACATCACCCTAGGCTTCAAATTATTACTACAAATAATTTTCAAAAATTTTTAGTAAACAATCAGTGATAGTGAAACAAAACTCCTGTTTCTGGCCAAGGCAGAATAACTGTCTTAGGAATATTCCTCTCACTGTAAGTAACTGTAAATTGGACAAAATAAATAAAGCAACTGCTTTCAGGGGGGGCAGACACAGGGCAGCATAAGACTGTAATCTCAGAGACAAGGGAAATCCATTAGATGAACTCCATGACTCTCAGTGCTCCTCCGGGTATAACTTTTCTTTTCTTTTTTTTTTTTTTTATTAGTTGGAGGCTAATTACTTTACATCATTGCAGTGGTTTTTGTCATACATTGAGATGAATCAGCCATGGATTTAGCACAGAACACAGAAGTACAAGCAGAGTACGGTGGTCCTGCTGAGCTGAAGTGGAAGACAGTAGAACTTGTAGCAGCAAAAATCACTGAAATCTGCAGGGCAAGACATGGCATTGGAGAGAAGGAAGATCGAATAAGGGCCCTAGAATTCCCTGGGGGGGTTCTCTGTCAGTCTGTGGCTCAAAGTTTGATAAAACACAGATTGCTGGGCTCTATCTCCAGAGTTTCTGATTCAGGAGGACTGGATGGAGCCTGCAAATATGTAGTTCTGTTACTTGATGCTGATGATGCTGATGACACAGGTGGTATTGATGCTCCTGATCCAGTCCCATACTTTGAAAATCATTCTAAGTAAAAGACAGTCCAGGTTAAAAATAAAATAAACCATATCTACTAAACCTTTCTCACTCATCTGAGTCACTACAGCATTAACATAGAACGTCTGAGGATACAAGAAAAATGTATAGTTAACTTCACACAAAACGAACAACTTCTGTAAATACAACTTCTAAGGCATTGATGGCCTACCTGAAGATCTCTCACATTTGGAAAAGGAATTCCTATTGTTACGACAGCACGGGCATTATCATCCGAGAAATCCAGACCCTCACTCACTTTACCACGACAAACTGCCACCAGGAGGGCTCCATCTTAAGCAACAGAAAATCAACATTTTTAAAAGCATAATCAAGATTCCCAGAAAATGTCTTATTCTTGTCATTTTGAAAAAATCTGATTATTAACTATAATATCAAATTTAAAAGAATCAAAATTAAAAATTACTATAAGATAAAGTTTTTAAAGCTCAATGTCTTCAAATAAAACAAAATTACATGTTGACACAACATGGTAGGACCAATTTACAAACTGCGTATCTCCCAGTTAAACTATATAGAAAAACCATGTCAGAATAATAGCCTGCATGTGAACTGAGAAACTGCGAATCAACTGTTTTATCTTTAAAATATTGAATTTGATATCACTACCTTTACCACCAGAATGTAAAGTTATCAGAAAGATTTAAAGGACTCTGTATCATACTGGATCAATATTATACTGAAAAGTATTTAAAACATACACACACAGAATACTCTGTGTATAATCTTATCATACAAGGATACTGACAATCATGTTATAGCATCTTTGTGATGTGGCACTGTTCATAAGTTATTATTATTAGCCCTTTCTATGAAACGTTCTATGGGCATTTTCTAACTTGGAAATTTAGCCTTCAGTTATGTTTACCTTATGCAATTAAGTATAAGCACAAAGTATATTTTTGCATGAAAATGTAACCTCCTTCCGCTAGTAAGGAAGATATTAATGCATACCCTATCATCTTCTTTGATAAAACATTTTAGGTAGTGTAAGGAAGTTTATAGGATAATACCTGAAGGCATCGCATTTTTTAAAACTGAACTGGTATCTTCAAGTGAAAGTACTCATAGGAGAACAACTCCAAACAGAAGAATGTCTAACTTAATTTCCTTTTCACTCAGGATTATAGAAATAATTTTTGAAAAAAGGCAATACAAATACAATTCTAACAGCACCAACTTCTCACTTTGTGGTAAAAAACTGTTTCACTATCAAATAATTTCCAATTACCTTTTTCTCCTTTGTACTTGATTGCATCGTAGTACACCTGCAGTAATTCATCAAAATCAATTTTTTCTCCTCCCTGTGGTTCTACAATGACTGTCTTCACCAACTCCAGATTATGCCATAAACCAGTAGAGAGCCAACGTTCTTTTAACTTTTCTAATAACTGAAAAGGGGAAAGAAAACATTGAGTTTCTTATGTGTCCAACTGAACAAACTTGTATTTACCTGTTGAAAGACAATCTGATTACAATCTGACTATGGCAAGAGTATTAACATTTCTATGTTTTAGTCTAGAAAATGAGGAAAACAATTATACATCGTAGAGCTGTTACTGGGTAAATTCAGTAACCAGTGTAGAAAGCTTTGAGAGAGGCCCTGCACACAGTAAGAGCTCCGTGAATGTTAGCTGCTGTGGCTGCTGTTATCTTTATTATTACTTCTAACATTACTGCTGCTACTGCTACTACATCTATCATTGCTTTCTTGGGGATTTCAGAAGCAGGAAAAAAGTTACTTTGAAGTTCATAAATCTTAAGTTATCTCTAAATCTAAGGTAAAGTTCTTAGCATCTTTAATTAAATGAAGATTTTTAAAGATCATTTTACATAGTACATAGGCAGCCATGCTGCTTGAAAATTTGATCATCACTGATAAACTGAATTGAGTAAATATATAAACAGAACCTCAGGCAGCCAACAAGTGAAAAACATAAAAGCACAAATGGAACACTTACAAAAACAACCGTGTGACAGATTACAAAAGGACTTTCAACAAATTTCAAAGAATATCAGATTAACCACATATTCTAACAATACAAACTTAGATTAAAAGTCAATAACATAAAGTTAGTGAGAAAAAAACAATCATACAAGCCCAACACTAAAGATTATATTCTTAAAGAGCATATGGATTATATGCCAATTATATCTCAATAAAGCTGCAAAAAGAAAATAAATAACAACAAAAGAGAACATACAGAGAAGAAATCAACAGAATTCATGACATCTTTAGATCTGAATGACTAAAAAACGCACTCACAATCAAAACATGTGGTATGGAATAAAGGTAATAAGAAAGCAGAAGTTAGTAAAGATAAGAGGTGAAATAAATTAAAAAAAAAAAAACAGCGGTAGAGATTATTATGACTTAAGTTGAACTGTTTTACTTGTTTTATGCAGAGTTCTATGTAATATGGGCCAATTATAACAATACAGGCAGTGAGTGAAGTGAAGGTTCTCAGTCGTGTCTAACTCTTTGCGACCCCATGAACTGTAGCCTACCAGGCTCCTCCATCCACGGGATTTTCCAGGCAAGAGTACTGAACTGGGTTGCCACTTCCTTCTCCAAGGGATCTTTCCGACCCAGGAATCAAACCCGGGTCTCCCACATTGTAGGCAGATGCTTTACCGTCTAAGCTACCAGGGAAGTCACAACATAGGCAAGCATCAAGAAATTACTTCAAGTCCTCCAGCGTACAAAAACTAATTTTTATAAGATGATTTATTTCCTCAGAATTTTAATGTATCTATTTTTGGAAATAATAATAAGACAACAAAATAAATTTAAAAAAAATCACTGCTACGGTCTAAATGTTTGTATCCCTCCAAAATCATATGTTGAAATGCTATTCTCTAAAGATAAAGGTATCCAGAAGTGGGGACTTTAAAAGTGATTTGGTCATGAGCATGGAGCTTTCACAAACGGGACAGTGCTCTTATTTTTGCGATCTCACAGAGTTCCTTTGCCCCTTCTACCACAAGGGCATAGCAAGAGAGAACTGGCTCCTCACAGGAAGAGAGTCCTCACCCAACCATGCTGGCACCCTAGTCTTCCACCCTCCAGGGTGATGAGAAATACGATTCCATTGTTTATAAGCTACCAGGTCTGGAGTATTTTGTTCCAAAAATCAGAACACACTAAGAAAATCACTAATTGGTAAAACAATTCATTGCATATTATACACTGATCAGGGTATTCTGATCAATAAGAATAAAAATTTCCCATAACACCATGTTAACAGGTAAAAACCAACAGGGATATTATTAATTTTAAAAACTTCTTTACTTTGGCTAATAGAATTTACTTTTTGAGTATACACATTCTGAATCAAAGTTTCTCACCATGCAAATTCTTAGTTTCTTCTAGCTGCTGTAATTCAGTTAGAAGAGCATAAAACTATCCCAAGGATGTAAAACCAAATGAAATGTATCATGAATCTGCATAATTATTGATTCTTAATAGAATTAAGTTCAATGGTACTATACTGTTTTCTGAAAACACAGATAATGTTTCATCTCTGATTCCTTGAATCCAAGAGAATAACAACTCCAGTGTTTTGAACATTTAAAATCTGGAGAAATTCACAGCATTTTACTGACTGACTTCACTTTCACTTTACTTAAGGAAGACCATTAAGTTGATGATTTCAAAATAGATTCCATTTTAATAGATTAACATCTCTTTACAAAGGAAAATCTGAGAAATAAAAAGGAAATTGGATCAAAGTAGAAAATTTCCCCCAAAATTCAGCAGGGATTTTTCCCCCATTATGCAGAACAGAATTTAGAATATCAAAGAGTTATAAATTATTTAGAAAATATTTGTTTACAAAAGCTTAGAAAAATTCTAAAGCAGGTGTGACACGCAATATTTCAAAATTTACTACAATGGATAATAAAAGACATTCTATCCACTGATTTGGGATTCTAAGAACTTCAGAAATTTATGGTCAATGAAAATGACTACAAGTTTATAAATAAATTGTGAATATCACAATTAAAAAGTACAATAAGTGCTATCAATTACTTCAGAAAACTTACATAACAAACTGTCACGTTGCTGGGTCTTTAAAAAAATTACCTACAAAATAATGCTGCTAAGCTTGTTGATATATCTAAAGGAACTTTTAAAGTTCTTTGATCCTAGTACTTCACATTTTAAAAGGTTCTATTTCTGTTAGATCTCTATCAATGTAAAATGTGTAGGGTTTTTTTTCAATGATTAAACAAAAGACATCGCACCTTCACAAGTTGCAACACTTGCTACCTCATAAATGTTTATCTTTTCTCTATGGTGATGTTACATACTGCGAATGAAAACTCTTCACTGTGAGAAAGAGAGATCAGGACTTGCATTGTTAGATAAGAGAAATATTGTCAGGGTGATATTTGCACACTGAAGATGCTATTAACCATAAATTTTTATCTGAAATAAAATGTGATATTCACGAATAAAACAGATTAAAAAAAATAAAGTTCTCTGATCCTATTAAATTTTGAAAACTAAATTGTCAGGGTATAATCCTGACATGTAAGATTATAATTTGGAGAACAGGAGAGAACAAAAAGGTAGATCTGAAAAACTACTGCTAATGCAAATTTTATAACTTGAACAAAATTTTCCCCTATGGATAAATCATTCAAACTTGCCTTAATTAAAAAGAACTATTTGAAATACATAAAAACAGCTAAGAAGTGATTAACTAAATATTTTTCAAGAAACTTTTCATGCAATCTAACATCTATTAGCCTTTCCAAAGTGCCACACTATCAATATTTACCACCAAGTCCAGACACTGGATATTATGGGCTTCCCTGGTAGCTCAATGGGAAACAATCTGCCTGCCAATGCAGAAGATGTAAGTGTGATCCCTAGATTGGAAGGATCCCCTCAAGGATCCCCATTCCAATATTCTTGCCTGAAAATGTTCTAAAATTGGTGAACTTTGTAAACATAATAAAACTTACTGAATTATACACTTCAGGTGAGTAAACTGTAAGGTATGCAAAGTATATCACAGTAAAGATATTTTATTAAAACAATGATAAATAGGATACTTCCAAACCACTAAAAACACAGAGGACAAAAAAAATCACATCAATAGAATAAGGTAAACAAGAGAGGAAAAGAGGTATAAGAAACCACAAAATAAGATGGTAGAAAATAAGTCCAAATATGGCAAAGAATCAAAGAAAACACAAATTTAATTCATTTATGAAAAATGAGACAATCAGTTCGTTTAGAAGAAGGGAAGGGAGAAGAGAAGTAGTGGGGAGAGGAAAAAGAAAATCAACCATATGTTGTTTATCAACAGAAATACTTAAACCACAAAGAAATCTTAAAAATGAAGACACGGAAAAATATATGAGGCATATATTTATCAGGTGTATCACAGCCATAAAAAAGTAGACTTCTAAATAAAAAGCTTTAAGAGAAACATAGATATACAATACATGCATATATATAAAAAGTACACCCACCAAAAAGATACAGCACTCATGAATCTTTACATACTTAAGACACAGTCTGACAATATGGAAAGAAAAAAACTAGCAAGAAACACAATGATAAATACTATAAATACTATAGTCCCTAAATATACAGAGGACTTTAACACACCTCTCTAAGATACCTACAGATGAATTAGATGAAATTAATATAAATATATATTGAAACTTATAAGAATCATCAACCTTACCCTAATGTATGTAGGAAACTTGGTGCTGAATGGAAAATAATAATTCTTTTAAATGTAAAACAATATACATAAATCCACAAAGGACATATTAATAAATTAAAAAAATCTGGAATCATATACAGATTCCCTGGAAACAGACATTAACAGAAGAGTCATTCATTTCAAAACAAAATAAATTTATCTACATAAAAATCTGAAAAAGCTGCCATAAAGTTCTAGGTTCAGGAGTAAAACAAAATGGAAAAAAATTACTTAGAAACAATGTGATTTTTCTAGGTCTCCAACCAGCTTGTCATTTTCTACAATATGTCAATAGAAATGTGATTTAAACAGCAGAACATAAATAAGACTAGAAAGGTCTTAAAAATATTTATTGGGATTCTCCAGTGGTTAAGAATCTGCCTTCCACCCTTGGTCTGGGAACTAAGACCCCACACGGCACAGGGCAACTAAGTCTGGGTGCCACAACTTAAGACCCAGGGCAGCCAAAAGCATATACTAACGGCAATGTGTGAACTGTGCTACAGAAACACAGTAAGTATATAATAAGTAAGAAAAATAAATGAACTTCTGTCATGGATTTAAAAAAGCAAAACGGTGAAAATGATGTACAACATCATATTTTTTAAAAACTCAGAAACAAACAGCAAACCTAACATACTGCTTAGGAATATATACGCACTGTG